CATGCTCCAACCCCTAATCCAAGAACATTAGCATCACCACTTAGCTTGGAGGCATCCTCTGAGGAAGCGACCCCAACCGTCAAGTCTAGATTATGTTACCGGAGAAGGTTGGAGATGTACATTGTTTTACCATTTGGTAGGGTTCATCTAAGAGGCCGTGTGTGTTTTCACAAATCTTAGAGGCAATAAGTGGGGCTAGCATAGAGCCAATTCTCACCTAGTGGATATTACACCGAACCCTTGGACCTCTATGGTGTGACTCCACCCAAGGAGGGATTGTCACTCAAGAGAACAACGGAAGATGTATCGACAGGGGTGGGTGCTAATTGATTATTTATTAATTGTTTGATCTGACTAGGAGGTAGGCATTATAAAGCTTGTACAAAAGATTTGAGGCCTAAGGATAGGATCCAAACAAACTTGGAAAGGACTAGCAAACTTGGAAACAGTCTCTATAAATAAGATTCTACCAAACTGAAAATACATATTGATTTCCTATGTGACATTTCTATAAATAAGATTCTACCAGCTAAGACCCCATGTGACATTTCTCCCCTCCTTGAGCCATCTCGACCATGGGTTGAGAAGATTGATATGGCTTCTGGACATCAGGCATTGGCGGTTGCATTGTTTCCATCAAGGAACGGATCAACCTTCATGGTATACAACTTTTGCAATGGTGACGAGGAGAAAAGCGGTCTTCACAATTGAAATACAAGCCTTGGGATTGACATGCTACCATCTCCGCCTGAGACTATACGGTGTTGGCGCCTAGCTCAAGCGACCACCACTCCTCCAGGTGGTAGGAGATTTGGAGCAGGGAGGATGCCATGGCCTTGAAGCGAAGCATTAGATGCTCTCTTGGCTGGGTTTGAAGCTTGTAGTGCCCAATTTGCATGACATTCACAAATGCATGCCCAACTCATCACCTCCATGAGAGAAGTCCGACACCACACCTGCACATCGAGTGTGAGAGTCTCTTGGATATTAGTGGTGTAAATCATCACCTGTTTGTCGGCTCGTAGGCATGGGGCACAACCAAGTAGGGCATTGAATTGCATGTTTAAGTCTGCCACCATGCTCGTGCACTTGAGGGAGATGAGCTCATTGAGAGCATTAATCCTGGATGGTGGACCAAATTGGGTGTTAACCAACTCGGTGGACGAATGCCATGACGGAGGGCCATAGTCATCCTTGTACTAGCCATACCACATCGCTCACTAGATGGAAGGAGGCAATGCCCACCTTCTTAGCTTCCGATGTATGTTGCGCGACGAAGAAGAGAGAGCGGTATGTTAGCCAGGACAACCGGTCGACCTCGCCATCGTAGGTGAGAATTCCATCTTGAAGTGACATAACGATATGCCTTTTGCGTGTTGTTTGAGAATAGCAGTCAATCAGTGGATGGCTAATGTCATCTTTGCCAATGGTACAACCACTCGGAGGATGTTCCCCTTCTCCAGTCTGAGGGTTGCCAATTTGTGTCTTCATGTTTGTTGATCGGTGTCGTGCACGGTCCTAGAGAGGTTGTCCACTTTGGCATCTTTCTGGCCATATATTCACGAGAAGTTTCTGCTAGTCGTTTGCGGAACCTTGGACCTCTGTGTTGCGACTCCAGCCATAGAGGGGTTGTCACACAAATGAGGCAATGGAAGAAGTGTTGAGGGGGAGAGTAATTGATTCTTTCTGCCTGACCTGACTAGGAGGTGGGCACTATAAAGCAAGTATATAAGACTTGGGTCCTGAGGGTAGGGTCCTAACAAACTTGGAAATGACTAACAAACTAGGAAACACTCTCTAGTGATAAGCTCCTACCAAACTTAAAGATACATATTGATTTGTTGGCGATTGCACCAGTTAAACCCTCATGTGACAACAATGATGCCTCTAAACATTATGGGTGCCCTAAGGCTAGTGGCGACGCAAAGCTTAGAGGCGGCGATGATGAAATTTGAATGTATGGAGGCAACCTATAAGAGTTTAGAGATAGCCTAAGAGGCTGAAAATTTATTACAATATTGATGCTCTTAGCATGGCCCATCTTACTACCCCTAAGCTTAGCGCAAAAAGGCTATAGTGTGTAGTTCGACTAGCCTCTAATGTGAACACCAACATAATAAAATAGTCTCTTTTATCAGCGAACCTCACTGTTAGTTTCTATGTGTAGACACACGCATAGGGCCACCGAATTACTTTTGTCAAAGAAAATTGTTAGAGGACCCCTCTTAGACCGGAGAAGACGCCAAGCGATTTTGTTGTGGACAAACATCTACGGTGTATAGTGTTCGTCTCCATAGTCTTAGATGCAACTTTAGAGGCAGCACACAACAACGTGGGCGCTTACAAGGCAACAAGCACATGCAACTATGCAAGACTTAATGCTTTGGTACCATCTTCAACAGTTAGTGACCTAAAAATGCTAATTGACAAGTCCATAATGACACAGACACACATGCATATCAGCTCACGTACACTTTCATTGTGCTTTGTTAACCCGAAATTGCCACACAAGCATTATATGTAAGTGTAAAATGAGGTAAACAGGCAACCACTCCGTCTTGTAGGGTTTTTACGCCCATACACACATAGCCATGCGTGCTGATGCAAGTTTAACCCATAATAAACTACTCTCTCCGTCTCTGATAGCAGTACCGTACAACTAACTCATTTGTTGTTCATGCATAAACTTGTCAAAGTTTGATACCACCTTTCACCTTTTAGTAGGAGAGAAAACAAAACAGCTAACAATACGCTCTAGTAGCAGTTGGCATGTACTCCAATGTTAACAATTTTTAAAGTACAGGACATATAGTTATGCCAAGGGATTTTTATTGTGTGATATGTTCTACAATAAAATAATATTATTCTGCTAAAAATCCCTTGTCATATATATTCCTGTTAACAATGTTTAAAGTACATACAGGACATATCACACAATAAAAGGAGGAATATCCTAGAGATATAACAAACAGATCCTAGTATCATATGACCATGATGTTTGGAACACAGCAAAGAAAAAATGAAAAAGATAATGCATGTAGAGTATAGAACACAAACGCATATTTTTTGTTGAAATGATGAACCATTTGTGGTGTACACTTACAATATGTTTCTATAGCTTACTGTAGCTTGGCCGGTATACTGTACCTTATTTTATTTAATTTTACTCAGATCAAATATTTCATATTTGCCTACCGAATTTCACTTATGTATGTATCTATTCACATCCATGTTTATTTTCATAATTTTCTGAAACATTTAGCTATGATTTTTCACCAAGTCACTATATCATGACCATATGAGCCTATATGATCAGAAAAAATATGTTTGTATATCACACAGAAAAAGCAGGAATATGACATAATGCTTTGTTGAAAATCCAACGCTAAAACCAAGCAAATTCCTAACCTACTACTAGAGACTTTCTTAGGGCAACCTATTAGTTTTTTTTAGACAATAGGGCAACCTACTAGTGAATAGACGTGTCATAAACAGAATGAAAGAACGAGCCTCCTTCACAAGGCTCTGGCCTACTTCAGAACGGGCTGAACAGGCCGGCAAAGCTTGGACCGAACACATACTACAGAAGATGGGCTGGGCTTACATTCCTACTCTGGAGACTGAAGCCGAGAAACTGTCCTCGTTGGGGGAATATTAATCGAGCATTAGCTTCTACTTTCACGGTGTGAGGTCATGCAAATTGGCGTTAAATATTTTCAGGAAGAATTTTTGAGGGAAAACAGTACTGCTCAACATGTTCAGTACTTCACCAACTTCTTAGACCTAACTCTGTACAGGGTGAGAGAGAAAAGACTAGTGCAACACATTTTCTCGATTTGTCTTCTTTCTCCCAATACAGAGTCAGATCATTAATTTCGGTGAAATCCCGAGCAAGTTAAATAACACTGTTTTCCCACTCTTAGTTACTCCTTTCGTCCCATAATATAAAAGTGTTTTTGACACTTTTTAAGTATCAAAAACACTTTTATATTATGGGAAGTGTTTTTGACACTTTTTAAGTGTCAAAAACACTTTTATATTATGGGACGGAGGGAGTTGAAACAAAATTAGAAGTGATTCGCGCGATCTTACACGATAGGATCATCTACAATGCAAGACGTTCTACAGCAGCGGGGTCAGATAGGCCGGCAGCACGAAGGGCGGAGACGACGGAGAGGAAGAAACGCTGCGGAGCAGCAGGACACGTCGGCAGAGCTACCGGCGGCGCGGGCCCGGCTGCTTGTATGAACTGCCCTTCTATTAATTGCAATGGCATGTTCATACAGGATAAATGCTCGATCTTTATCTACAGCCCAAGCCCTCTGTACCAACAAAAATGCTTGGCCCATTCGGCCTGCTACTTAAAATGCCCCTGGCCCTCTCCAGGGCCATGATCAACCTCCCCTACCATCCGACGGTTACGCTGTCCTTTTAAATTACAGCTACTGCTACTGCTAATACTACGCCTACTTCTGCTGCTACTGTCACTACTACTACTACTACTATCCGGGTATTTACCTTGGTCAACATAGAAGAAGGATGGGGTCTCACAACCCTCATCCCAAACCCCTTTGCTCGCCTGAAGGTTGAGCTGGTGCAGCCTGTCAACCTCACCTTGATCAGCATATTGGGTTGAAGAGCTAGGGTTCAAGCTGGACATCTGCCGCGAATGCTCCTCAGGCATCACCACTGTACTGACTGGGTGCATTTGATCCGAGCTTCCAAATGTGCACTCCTTCGTGCTGCCTGGGTTCTTTGTGCTGTCAGTGTTATCGCTGCTTAAATTGCCACTTGACCCTACATCAGAATGGCTGAACAGCGAAGAATCCTCGCTTGTACTTGTGGGCTCTAATACTGGATTTGATGAGCCACCAGACGTAACCAGCTTGTAGGTGTGGCCATTCATTACATGATCCCTGCATGACTGCCATTGCGTACCTTGGTGCCTGCTAAAATGGCTCCGGCCTTCCAAACAAGTTGATACTGGATCTGTTGTCTGCCTAGCTTTTCTTGTGTGTGATAGGCCTTGAGCAATAATCAATTTCCTTAAAGACCTTGGAGCCCGTGGTGAACACCTGATGTGTTTAATGTGACATAATTTAGGATAGAAAAATACATATCAGAAAGCGATACACGGTATAACAGTGGTCTACCTACCTTGTATAAAGCAGCATATACGCACGCTCCGACCGGACATTTTTCAGAGAAACAGGTTTCACCTGTAGACAACGCTCAAGACTGTTTAGCAGAGAAGATTGATTGACATGGGTACATGGATAATAATTCTTATGGTATGAATATATGTTTGTGGGCTAGACACTTTTTTGTTTAAACGAAAACAAATCATCATCTACTAACTGTTTCCAACAAGAGAGCTACTCTTTTATACTATTCAAAACGAAATCCAGATATAAGCAACACATGAATCAGCTGATCTTTCAATATGCAAAAAGGGTGCACTAAGCAGATGAGGGTGTTACACTACCTGGCTATCATCCATTTCGTACCATTTCCCCTGTGAGTCCTTGACATAACATATATAATGACCAGAAACGGATGAGTTCATAACATCACGGTGGACAACCACCGCATAGAGCCTGTACACAGGGGAACAATCATCTGTTGTACTCATGTAGCTAGACAAATTCAAGTATTCCGGGAACCTGATGGCCTTGTTAATCTTGCCAAACATACCAGACTGTCAAAAGAAAAAAGGGTTCTAATTAACATAAACAAAACAAAGAAAATTTGGTAAACAAGATACAAAGCCAACACAGAAAATATAGCAACCTAGCATAATTTGATGTGACAATTCATTGAGTCCATGAAGATTTTGTGGTGAAAACAACCTAAGATTCTTAATGATACCTGATATCTTTTCAGTGCAATAGTCAGGATATTTGGTGCTTCTGATATTGTCAACTTCTTTTTGCCACGTTCATATGACTTGCATCTGATGACATAAAATAAGTTAAGATGCAATAGTGTTTGAAGAAAAAACATGGTCAGCCCGTCACGTACCATTAATCTAGAAGATTAGGCCGGAGGAAAATGCACTCATTTATTGTCAACCTCAACTCTACAATTAGTGAATTAGCTAAAAGCTCGAAAGTGCTATATTGCTACTATAAACCGATCAAGCGATCACAGCTTTGTGTTATTAACATTTGCTAACTTGCGACAATATAACTGTCAATTAATCTAAAGTTTCATTGGGGATGCAAAGTGATAAATGCGAACAATGTAATAAATATAGAAAGTCACATCATGAAGTGATCTGTACCAACCTGGTACAATGGTATCTGTTATCGCCATCTAAGACTTCTGAAGATGTAAATCGATGAAGTGCTTCTTCAAGAGTACTGATATCCCCATCTATTTCCACAGTAAGATCCATTATACGTTCGCAATGTTCTGAACTGACCCCACACTTTGTGCATTTTATCTAGGAAAGAATATTAAACTCTTTAAAAAAATGCAAGATGTTGTTACACTAGATATGCAACAGTGGCACTCAGAAAATATAGAATTGGAAAGGTTGAGTACTATTTGTGAAGAAAAGTAGAAAACCTTAGATCGTAGATAGCCCACGAACATTAGCTGAATCAGTGTCGTTTCTTCAGCTAACTTATGGGCACCATTTGCATTGGCTTCCTTCATGCTAGCAGATTGCATAGTATCAATTGCGTACCTGTTAAACTTATCATTAGTGCAGTTCAATGGAAAAGTCTTATGGTGAGAATATATGGCTTGTAATAGGTTAAATGCTAATGCTAATACTGAATAACCACCTCTACAAACATCAACTAGCATAGCACTAATAATACCAACATCAGCACTAGTCCAAATATCAGAAAATGGTTTACCCTGTTATTAGAACGGAATTTACAGTACTGTTATTCAATTATTCAAAAATAACAATACATCTAGTTATGTAGAAAATGGTTTACCCACACACACACACGCACGCATCCTATTTAGCATGAGTGCACGACAATTTTTTTGAGAGAAATAGTAGGTGTACTGTTATCAACATTATCCAAAGAGAAAATAAGCCCATTATCGATCATAACTTGATCCAGCCATCGCTATATACATGAACTTTTTGGATTCTGCCATCTATCATTTCAGCTTCAAAGTTTACCATTTTATGCATAAACAATATTTTTGGCCAGGGAGAGGTATAGAACTTTAACCAAAGAGAATGAGGAATCAAAAATCTCACCTGAGAAACTCATGAGCGTCTTCCTCTTCGCCCGGGCCAAAGCTACTTCCGATGTCAGACAAATGTGAGAGTATTCCAGTAGGTGATAATGGAGAATGTCCTTGCTTACCCTCCACAATGAGTTTTTGAAACTCGCACAAAAAGCACCATTCCTTTTGGGAACCTAGAAAATACAGTAGTAATATACTGTAACTCAAGGGAATGTGCTGAATAACATAAGAAAGAGTTTAGCATTAACTTACAGTTTTTTGAATGAAGCCCCTCGAGGAAGTATGCTGTAAGTGGTCGGGTAAAGGCCAAACACTGAAGCACGACATTTGCATAGCAACTGTAAAAAGAAATAAAAGAAGGTTAGGCAAAAACAACAACATTGAAGCGCTAAACTCAGATTCAATAAATTGTTTACGCTATAAACCAAAGTGCCCTGATATGTTTAATTTTCAATAAGTTTTAGGCATGAGTTTGAATTGTGAATCCCCAGATACTGCTACTGGACTCTTATCTCGTTAAAGGAAACAATTTTGAAAGTAACATGCTATAACAATCTCAAAATGATAGCTTATAGGATACACATAAATGTTCAGCACACTTAGTTCCAAAATAGTTGTTATACAGTTCAGTTAATTGTTTACCTGTTCCCAAGGTTACAAAGACCAAAAGGACGCAATTCCACCTTGTCAGAGTTGTAGAGCTTAACGAAGCGTTCATACGGAAAAAGTGTCTGACACATTTAGATAACCATTAGGTTCAGCATACAAAAGTATATGTTAACGATTAAATGTGTCATCCAGTTTTACTTACCGATTCCGATGAGTAATGTCTCACAATTGTTGGAGCAGTTTGTTGCCTGACCAAACTTTTCGTTGGCAAATCATCTGGCACCACAACTCCGATCTCTGATTTAGCAGAGAATTCAGGACGATCATCTGCCTTTTCAGATGGATCACACGCCACCGGAATCTGAGTGTGAGAGCCATTTTCACTAACGGAAGCGCCCTCGACTTTGCACGGTTTACCAAAAGTTGGAGAACTCGAACAGTCAGCAGATTCAGCATGTCCTGTAACCTGAGGAAATGTGAACTCTTTGCTATCTTGTTGAGAAGCCTCTGACGTATTGGACGCCTTCTCAAGGGGCATCTCCTTGCTTTCAACTGCTTGCTCGACTCCAGTCACCACACTTTCTTCATCTGAGCTAGTGCGTTCAATTTTTTTCGTGGAAGAAGCTTCTATTGTGGTGTCTTCTCTAGCATCAGCACTTACTGGATGGCATTCATCTTTGTGACCTTGTCTCCAGTGAGCTATCTGACATTTGACGGCACTGCAACCAATAAAAGGGAAGTTATGGAAATAACACTTTATGCAGTATGACAACTCTGAAGATGCTTTTATAAGGATATAAATGTAGTCAAATACTTGGCGATGGTCGTCAAAAAATTATTATCAAACATGGATAAAAGCAAAATTTAAGGATGCGCATAACTAATAGATGGGACAATACCTACCTACAGAAATAGACTCACAAAACTAACTTGATACCAATGTTACATTTTATATACATATGCTCTGCTGGATAAAAATGTGGTTGAAACACTTTTTGTACAAAATGTTGAACTCATAATTGCAATCAATCCCATAATTTAAAAACATTGATCAGTGCCAGCATTGACATAAAAGGCAGTATATCTGGTTTTCAACAAAACAGAGTAACTAGTCATCACTGTACAAAATTGGTGAACTGTCAAACTGAACTGTACATAAATGGGCTCAATGATTTGAACAATTGAACCCAATGTGAGCGCGCCACATGCTGGCTTCTATGCCATATTCTGAAAGCAGCACCCACTCTCAGAATAAACTGGGACTAACTAAGTTGATCATGTGAAAATTCTAGTTAGATGATGCAGGCAATGCAGGCGTCTTCCCTGAGCAAATAGCAGGGAAAACACACTGTCTCCACATAACGCGCAGTGTGTGTAAGCCACTAGCCTATCATGACAAACTCTCCACATAACGGGCAGTATGTGTAAGCCACATAATGTGCCCCGAAAGACCAACCAAAACGGATTCTTTTTTATGCTAGTCAACATACGCATTGTCGCAGCATAATCGAACATGAATTGCATATACTAGTAAACAAATAAATAAATAAAAGTGGGACTGGAGTGCCGTTACCAATACTTGACGCCCTTGCAGCGCTTGCACCGGAACGTCGTCGGCTTGCGGCACACCACACACGGCCCCTTCTTCCCCGCCGCTGCCGCTAGCGTAGGCTCCGTCGCCGCCTCCTGTTCGAGCCGCGGCGCGGCCACATGTTCGTCCCGCGGCCAGGCCACCTCCGGCGCCGCCACCTGATCGACCGGCGGCCAAGCCACATGCGGCGCCGCCACCTGATCGACCGGCGGCCAGGCCACCTCCGGCGCCGCCACCTTCACCGCCGGCGGCCAGGCCACCGGCAGCGCCGCCACCTTCTCGACCGGCGGCCAGGCCACCGGCGTTGCCGCCACCTGCTCGACCGCCGGCCAGGCCACCGGCGTTGCCGCCATCTGCTCGACCGCCGGCCAGGCCACCGGCGGTGCCGCCATCTGGTCGACCGCCGGCCAGGCCAGCCGCGACGCCGCCACCTGCTCGACCGGTGGCCAGGCCACCTGCGGCGCCGTCCACTGAGTCGTGTCCGGCGCCGTCCAGTGAGGCGCGGCGTGGTGATCGTAGTAGTAGTACGCGTCGCGCTCCGCGAACTGGGCCTGCTCCGCCGCGAGCCAGGCCGTCCGCCGCACGTCCTCCTTCCTCGCGGCCGCGCGCCGCATCACCGCCACCAGCGCCACGACCACGATTGCCACCAGCGCGGCCACGAACGACGCCATCGCTTCCTCCCCCGCCTCCACCCGCGCGCACAGATCTTACGGCCGCCGCCCGAAGCACTCTCGCACGCACTCGCTCGCTCGCTCGCACTGGACCCGAACGCAGTGGACAATGAAACAAGGCACCCGCACGCCGAATTGCTGCGCCTCGCCCGCGGGGATATAGGGTCGGGGCACGCGCTCGCCCGCTTTTGTCCCCGTCCGCGAGCGGTAACGGCAGCCGCGGAAGGCTCCGGAATGCGGGCGCGGCGGGGCGTCCGATTGCGCCGAAACGAGGCGAGCGCGCGGGGGTGGGCTGCGCCTGCGAGGTGCGCGAATGGAAAACGTGAGGGCGGGCGGGGCGGTGCGGGGCGGGGGTGTGGAGGCGGCCAGGCGCGCTCGCTAGTAACGGCTGTTTTTTTCACTCCCTTCCTTTTCTGTCCTCCCGGCGGCGGGTAAGCGCGAGGGGGGCTCGCGCGGCGGCGGCGGCGCGCGCCGGTCGCTTGTGGGCCGTCCGATGCGGGCGGGAGGCTCGGACAGGGATCGCGGGAAACTGCGGACGCGGTTGGTTGCGCCTTTTGCAGTCTGCACCCCGGGTTAACGGGGAAATGCTGGGTTTTAACCGCGTTGAAAAGCTGTGAACACATCGCATACATTATTGATTATTTATAAGATTTTTATTTTGGCAAGGGTTTCTACGTTGTAAGATGTGATAAATCGTTCTCTCAGGTTTCGACAGGCCAGAATCGACACGTTATTTTCATCAAACAAAAAAGAACTGTTGGGTTTGAATCTGCCTGCCACGCGACTGTTCAGCAGTTTGCATCATCTTTTCTGATGTACTACGACCGTAGACCCAAAGCGTTTCCCGTTTCTATATTGGCATTATGACCCAGTTCACGTCAGTGCTGCGATGCATGAGGTCAACACAACACAGCGATGTCATCCCTATTTCCGGCGGGTAAAAAAATGGGCGTATACGACCTTATTAGGACGTCAAGGGGCGAAGTGTCATTTTCACCCTGGCCCCACTTGGAGGACCTTTCTCTGTCGTGGAGATCGGAGAGCAACATGAGATGGCGACGACGACTCTAGCCTGACTGACGTGGTTGCAAGTCAGACGCGCGGACAAGTGTCCACACGGTACGTCAGGGAATTTTCGACACAGCCCGCCGCGACCATCTCCAGAAACACACGCGACCATGACATGTGGCACCCACACTATTGGTGGCCCGCGTGTCACTGGGGCTTTTTGGTGGGTGGCGCTATTTGACGAAGCCACAGCCTGGTTCTCGCGCGGGTGTGACGGACGGAGGGGTCGTCAGCCGAGCGTTTTGGATGTCTTTGGTCGTTGAGGCTGGTCATAGTGGGAGTAACATAGGTAGTAACATAGATGCCACATAAGCAAAAATGATGATGTGGCAAGTAGTTAATGAGGAGAGAGGCAAATAGAGTAACATAATATGTTACCATCACATAGCGGTTTCCAATGCATAATGAGTCTACAAAGTAATAAATGAAGGCAACTATGTTACCACACCTATGACACTACCCACTATGAAGGTAGTAACATAGACTAGTAACATATGTATGTTACTAGTCTAAGTTACTCCCCACTATGACCAGCCTGACGCTTTTTGGATGAGGCGCGCCCGAAAGTCGTATTTCCATGCTGGCGTGTGATGGGCGCGGGCATATCTCGGCATTAATGTTTCCCCTGAAATAATCTTGGGATATATTGATTGCCAATAGTGCAATAGGCAAAAACAAATCTATGCCATTAAATACCGCCAATCCAATTATTTAGATTACTCCTTTGTAGAGCATCCGATATGTTTAGCGTGCAATTAATATCATAGCACCCGATAAGTTTAGCGCGCATTTAATGTCATAGCTTGCATCGTAATTTATGGGATTAATGTCCTGCCTCTTTTTTGAAAAAAGTAATGCCTACCTGATATCAGCGTGCAATGTAGTTACTAGTTATCAATGTACAATGCAGTTACTAGTAGGTAACCCCTAGAGAGGAAACTGAGGAGAAAGAGCCGCATTCATCTGCTTGAGCACAATATGGTTCGGTTGAGTCACCGACCATGTCCAAAAAGGTAAATTCTAGAATGAAGAGACTCAATTAGGATAGACTCGGTTTTGAAAACTAGGACTTGCATGGCCTTAATGGTCTCTTCACCAAGAAGGATGTGAGAAATGGCATCAACCAAATGACGAGTGGCAAAGCACCCGACCTGGATCGTTTCACCAGACCCTTGTTCAAAAAATGTTGGGGCACTATTAAAGGTGATATCACGAGTGACCTACCTTTTAAACGAAAAATGGTTTCCCCCCGTTTTATATTATAAAGCAACCATCACATACATCGAAGCAACCGATACAAATGCACGCCACACACACCCAAGGCAAGATACATGAATGCGAGGCACCAACACACAACCTCAACGACTAGCAAGAACCTATAAGATGTGCAAAAAAACAGATCCGCTTAGAGCCGACGGAGACGACCACCACGAGGAGCGATCATCCGGGAAGATGTGCGACGGATACGCCGGACCGAGGACTCCAAGACGATGCCTTCAGGAAGGGCACGGCCACGAAGATCAAGTTTTCACCCGGAGTAAGACGAAATGAGTGGGATGATACGTCTCCAACGTATCTATAAGTTTTGTTTGTTCCATGCTGTTATATTATCATTCTTGCATGTTTTACAATCATTTTATAGCAAATTTATATCATTTTTTGGGACTAACCTATTGACATAGTGCCCAGTGGCAGTTGCTGTTTTTTGCTTGTTTTTTACTTCGCAACATATCAGTACCAAACGGAGTCCAAATGCAGCAAAACTTTTTGGAAAATTTTTTGGACCAGAAGACACAAGATGGGCCAAAGAAGTACCAGAGGGGAGGCCCAGGAGCCCACACGCACCCTGGTGGGTTGTGCCCACCTCGTGACCCCCCGCACCGCCTCTTCGCCCTATAAATACCCAAATATTCCAGAAACCCTGGGGGAGTTGACAAAATACAATTCCAGCTGCCGCAAATTCCAGAACCACGAGATCCAATCTAGACACCATCACAGAGGGGTTCATCATCCTCATTGGTGCCTCTCCGATGATGCGTGAGTAGTTCATCATAGACCTACGGGTCCGTAGGTAGTAGCTAGATGGCTTCTTCTCTCTTTTTAATTCTCAATACAATGGTCTCTTGGAGGTCTACTTGATGTAACTCTTTTTGCGGTGTGTTTGTTGGGATCCGATGAACTTTGAGTTTATAATTAGATCTATATCCATGAAATTTATTTGAGTCTTCTTTGATCTCTTATATGCATGATTACTTATAGCCTCGTATTTCTCCTTCGAATTTTTGGTTTGGTTAGGCCAACTAGATCAATTTTTCTTGCCATAGGAAGAGGTGCTTTGTGATGGGTTCGATCGTGCGGTGTTCTTTCCCAGTGACAGAAGTGGCAGCAAGACACGCATGTATCATTGCTATTAAGGATAACAAGATGGGGGCTATTCCTACATGAATAGATCTCGTCTACATCATGTCATCGTTCTTATTGCATTACTTCATTTCTCCATGAACTGAACACACTAGACGCATACTGGATAGCAGTCGATGTGTGGAGTAATAATAGTAGATACATGCAGGAGTCGGTCTAATATTCTTGAACGTGATGCCTATATAATGATCATTGCCTGGATATTGTCATAATTATTCAATGTTCTATCAATTGCCCAACAGTAATTTGTTTACTCATCGTATGCTATTTTCTCGAGAGAAGCCGCTAGTGAAATCTATGGCCCCCCGAGTCTATTCTTTATCATATTTGCTTTGAGATCTATTTTTATTCACTTTTATTTTCAGATCTATTATTCCAAAAACCCAAAAATACCTTGCTGCATTTTTTTGTTATTTATTTTATTTCACGTTTTTACCGAGATCTATTTATCCAATCTACCACAAAACAATATGGAAGGGGGGAGGCTGAATTGGGAGGCGCCCAAGTAGGATTCCTACTACTTGGGCTCCCCCTTGGCTGTCTCTCCTCCCCTCCAACCTATATATATGGAGGGGGCACTGCTAGAACACACAACAACGATTGTTAGCCGTATGCGGCGCCCCCCTCCACAGTTGACGCCTCCGGTCATATTGTCATAGTGCTTAGGCGAAGCCCTACACGGATCACTTCACCATCACTGCCACCACGCCATCGTGCTGATTAAACTCTCCCTCGACAGTTTGCTGGATCAAGAGTTCAAGGGATGTCATCGAGCTGAATGTGTGTACAACTCGGAGGTACCGTACGTTTGATGCTTGCTCGGTCGGAACAAGAAGAAATTCTGCTACATCAACCGCGTTATTAAACGCTTCCTCTTTCGGTCTACGAGGGTGCATGGACATATTCTCCCCCTCTCGTTGCTATGCATGTCCTAGATAGATCTTGCGTGAGCGTAGGATTTTTTTTTGAAATTGCATGCTATGTTTCCCAACAGTGGCATCCGAGACAGGTCTATCGTAGATGATATGCACGAGTAGAACACAAAAGAGTTGTGGGCGGTGATCGTCATACTGCTAACCACCAATGTCTTATTTTGATTCGGCGGTATTGTTGGATGAAGCGGCCCAGAACAACCTTACATGACCACGTTCACGAGACCGGTTCCACCGACAGACATGCAACTAGTTTTGCATAAAGGTGGTTGGCGGGTGTCTATTTCTCCAACTTTAGTTGAATCAAAATTGACTGCGGCCAGTCCTTGTTAAAGGTTAAAATAGCAAACTTGATAAGTCACCGTTGTGATTTTGATGCGTAGGTAAGAATGGTTCTTGCTAGAAGCCCGTAGCAGCCACATAAAACTTGCAACAACAAAGTAAAGGACGTCTAACTTGTTTTTGCATGGCATGTTGTGATGTGATATGGTCAAGACATGATGTGAAATACATTATTGTATGAGATGATCATGTTTTGTAAAAGTTATCGGCAACTGGTAGGAGCCTTATGGTTGTTGC